AAGTACAACCAACAGATGGCCAAGATGAGCTATCCCATGGACTACTCTAATGATTGGATGTATGAGCCTGTTCTTGAGTCGGATTGTGGCAATTCACTGCACCCTGAAGATCAACTCAACGAACGATCTTATGTACGTGTCGTGATTCCACTCTTATCATACCAAAATTGTAACGTGATTCCTGCAGGATGATCTTGCATATATTCCATCATCAGCCACTTGCAGCGATCCTTCCGCTGATGTATCTCACGGTACATCGATTCGTCTGGAAGCAGCGATCGGGGCGAATGCGGATGTCTCTGATTCATCCAGCTCTGGATGTAACGAGTCTAATAGTTGCGAAGCGCTGCAGGAGATGATCATTAGGCCCGTCTCACCCACATTAAAGTCACGATTACGCCAGAATAAGCGAGCCGTCATACCCAAAGCCCCTGCAGCACCCTCTCGGAGAGAGGGTTCATCCAAACCTGGACGGCCCGTCGTGTTTGCGACCCAAAGGACTGTAGTTACGGAGAAAGGCAAAGTAGGTCGGCAACAGGTGAAATCACCAAAATACACCATTCAAGATCTCGTTCGTGAGTCCCAGACAGGTGGACACAATGTTGCCCCTTTCGTATGTCAACGAAACCTGTACTCCCATTGTGACTTAATTTGCAGAATAGATTTCCTCATTTCTCATGGATCCGGACGGCATGGATTTCGTGCAATCCACCATAGGCTCCTCTCATGATTCATGGTTGTGCGTCGCTCGACACATTGCATCACTCCTCCGCCATGAATGCCTGTCGGGTGCTATGAGTAAGATGGCAGCGTCACTGATGTCAGTTGACATGTGGATGAAGGAAATTTCTATTGAGTGCAAGAACGCACTGGCTAATGAGACAGGAGTTGCAGTTCTTCCCCCGTTGGTATGAATCCATTCTCCCCATTATCGTGCTATAACATTTTTACGTGTACAGGCACATTGTGTGATCGTCGAACTTTCAGCACGTGCCCTATTGGACGAGGAATCCGTTCGTTCTACATTGCACAGTATTTGGGTGAATCATTTGGTTTACGATGCATAATGCCTGCGTGCTGATGATGAAACTGCCCCTTGTAGACCAAGGACAATGCGAAGTGCGTTACTGAAGTCCTTCGATATCTGCTACATGTATATAAGCCTGGTGGAACCGATCCGGGAACCAATCCATATTCCCCTGGGCTTCGAATCCTGGCATCTGTGATGACTGAACGCTCTGGCACTATGCCAGGTCATGGAAATACATGTACACAGTGATACATTTGGAAATACGACCGCCTGGTGGTGGTGTTCACTCCTTTTGCATCAATATACCAACGATCAGGGTTATGTAGTCAAGCAGCTTCTTGATGTAGCACACAGTCGTGCACAGTTGACAATTCTTTTGCCTCCAAATCTCACTGCTCATGTGGTCCGTCTTGACTGATCGAGCACATTTATATTCGATGTCTAGAGGTAGCTATTCAATGAGGCTCACGGTGATGTCTCTCAGATGTATTACTTCGTACAATTCGGCTAACATGACGACCAGTCGGTTATTTTTTGAAAGAGGTAATTAAATCATACATGGCACGCAGTAATGTCCTACAGCAAGTCAGTATCCAAGGTATTCGCATGTTCTATGCGTTCTCATAGGGTGAATGATGACAGGCTGATGTCAAATATGCTTCAGAGCTCGCTTGTGAACGCGACATGTGAATCAATAGGAATGCGGGAAATTTAAATGACCTCGCAAACCGGTCTGATAATTGAAGCGATGTGACTGATCAAATACTACTGTTCTAGTGATCGTCCACGCAATCAGTATCTACAATCGTAAACATTTTGCAAATATAACTCCGATGTATATCGAGATGAACACCTGCTATACTACATAAGAGACATTCAGAGAAAAAGATGGAAATGCAATGAAGATCGGCTGGACCCAGTCGCAGCGAAGATATTTGGCAGGTATCTACCATGATTGAGTGAAATTTGAAACGAGAAATCACCAACTGTATTATACATTGCAGGACATGGGAAGCTGAGAGTTAATGAGATGGTGGAGACCCGACGGTGGACGCATGTACAGCCGAGAACGCAATGATAGTAAGGGAGAAGGGCGGTGAGGAATATCATGGCAGAGTGGTCACCATAATCAACAGTGAGCGCCCATAGAGGCGAAAAACCACCCCACCAGACATGGTCGAAGGAGCAGCAGATATCAGAAGCTGAGAGCGCGACAGAGGACGAACACAAGTGGCCACCGTCATCGACGGTGAACGCCCATAGAGGCGAGAAAACCACCGCACATAGTCCAACAGCAGCAGAAATGGGAAGTTGAGCATAGAGCAATGTGGCCACCATCATCGACGGTGAACGCCCATAGAGGCGAGAAAACCACTGCACGTAGTCCGAAAGCAGCAGAAATGGGTAGTTGAACGTAGATAAATGTGGCCACCATCATCGACGGTGAACGCCCATAGAGGCGAGAAAACCACTGGTGAATGTAATGGTACGAAAGAAAGAGAGATGTTGACAGAAGCCGAATATATAAGCTTCACATCACGTGACGCTCTCACGCCACACAAGCTTCTACGGCTTCTATATTTACACTTGTCCCACACCCGTTATGCCTTCGGAGTAAGTAAAATGCGACTTCTAAACATGTTTTCGAATGCGCCGAGACAGGATCAAACATATGCGACACAAACTGAAATAATCCATGCAATTCATTCAATTTTCTAGTATACTTGTCCTGGATGTCACAGAAGTTCAAAGAGTGAAATGAAAGAAAAGTGGGGAGGTTGTCAACTTAGCGCGAGAGGGACAAATAGAACTAGTACAATATCAGGCCTTCCAACGTGGAAGGCACGAGATCAACGAAATGTCAACGACGCAGAGCATGATGCGAACAATACATGTACTGTACTGGATAACAGAGTCAGGATATAATGCCAATCTCGCTTTTCTGGTCGGCGCTGAGGGGCCACTGGTACCATACCCGTCCATAGTTCTGAGACCTAGCCGCATGTATCCAAGTGGGACAGACAATGGACCTCTGCGTGGTACCGCATTCCAAACATGAATATCTCATCTTGGTCTGCAACCAGTGCTTCCCATAATATTGCTTTCCGTGTGGATGGAAGATCATATTGTACGCAGGTGCCTGGCATCTCACATTCCCACACCGGTAGATGTCGAGGCCCCAAGGTCGCCCATCCTTGAGATTAGAGTATGCGAGAACTCTGGTGTCGACCACGCGTTTTCGCACCTTATTCTCGTTAGTCTTCATGTCGGCAAATGAGAGAAATACAGGTGACTGATTGAGGGCGTGTCTGTCCTCTCCAAATGATTCCTCCAATGCGTCCCAGATCTTCAAGTCGTATACATAGACATTCTCAATGAAGCGATTCAACGCAGGAACAACGACTGGATCCATGGTTGACACGCCCGCAAACGTCAGGACAAAGTCGAAAATATCACTGTTGCGTGGTGTATATGAACATTACATCTCGATATATGTTGAAAAAAATATTGCTCACTCTTTCACCAAGCGCTTCAACAGCTTGACGCTTTCAGGCAGTCTTCCGGTTGATCCACAAGAACATACCACGAGCCCGCGTATGCATGGCCCAACACCTGAGCCCTTGTTGATGGCAGAGATTGCATGTGTCGCGTTTCTCAGATTGTCGTCGCCAATATAGTTAGATAGAAGCTATATTCAGAATCATGTACGTTATGAGCGAAATCGTCAAACATTTGTAACATGTCATCTCACCTCATGAATTGGAAGTGACTCAGGATTATCAGCGTTGCCAGACACAACAAGATTACCCGTCTTTGTGTCAGAATGCGTGTTGACAAATATCAACAGGTTTCCTGCGTAGCCGAACTGTCGCATCCAATCGAAGGAAGGAGTCATTGCTCCCGGACGATTATTTCCGGCTCTGAGGACACGGGTTGCTATGCGTATCTTTTCGATGATCAGCGACCGAGTTCGCCGATGCAACCCACAATACGCACCCTGCTTTTGTCACGACGATAATGCTCTTCGAGCGTCAATCTGATTATATTTGTAGCAAACGGGCTTCCAAAACCACTCCACGACAAGAATATTGCGAGCAGTGGGAAATAGTTTCGATAAAGAAAATCTTGTCGTACTGAGTATCCTGAAATCCTATACTGTTTGAATACAGCGTTAACAACTGTTTCACGTCGGATGAGATGGACCAACTCACAGTCATGGCAAGACCTTTATCGCGATGGCATCGAGGGCATAGGAACGTCTTCTCAGTCACACACATTTTACTCGTGTCTGGATCAGGCCATACATCCAGGCATCCGTGATCACATTCACTCAAGCTGACGCACACGGGGTTCCCGCACTCTTCAGCCTGACATCTCCATATATAAGATCCGACGTCATGACAATAGATGCAGCACTCGAGAAATATCAATGATATTGTAATTAATTTCAGCGAGTAGGAACATACAATCATTGGATCTTTCATGGTGTCAGCAGCCTGAGATACCACTGGCTTGATCTCGTCGACTTTGTCGATGTCCATGGCGTTTGGATCATCATCCATAATCGGTGTGAGTTTTACGTAAGGTGCATTGAGTGAATTGGAATCCGGCCTGATAGGCTTTTTTCTATTGCGCTGTGGACGAGTCTCTGTTACAGGTGCAGGCAGCACTTCTGTCCTCCGGGCACGATTCTGCACTGATGGCTGCTGTGCTTGAGGCACAGGTGCAGATGTGGCTGGAGGGCCCTGTGGTTTCGATTGAGGAAAATGGTGGATTGCTAAAAACTTCATGAATGAAACTCAATATTGGTCGTTTGGTAAAGCGTAAAGGTTCAGTTTCACACGCCGCCACACGTTTTGTTGAATGTCAAGTGCCGGAAAATATTACCATATCCGGACAATTGAGCCACTCAGCAATCAACTCCGAAAGCATGAAAAGCAGTCAGATACACAACCTCAAGACATTATCAGGCAAGAATTACTTCGACATGTCATCCACAATACCACCACCGATTGTCTTTGAAATCTTTGCTCACGATGCAAAGATGATGAAGACTCTTCTGGCTCACGCCGTGTCTTTGGATGTGGAGGATAACATCAATATATTGAAAATAGGCGGTACGACGGAAAAGGTAAGTGGCCCACACTGATTCCTGGTTTTTTTATTTCATTACTGACCAAACATCTCAGGTCAAGGTATCCCCGAAATGCCTTGATCAAATTCGCCTCATAATCCATCAATTTCGGCTCTATCAACGTGTCGTTACAGAGCTACGAAAACTGCCAAAGTCTCCGGCAGTCACTCGAAATGTCCAATTCTACATATCGTTAGTTTCATATTTCAAAGATGTTATCTCAGCATTCCACGGCGAGGCGAAGGCCGATGCATCAAGCTCGACCTCGAAGTGGCGTTCAGCGTATCTCGACTATCACATGGCTCTCACGTTGCACGACAGCTCATTTACCGAGGAAACCCAGATCACAACCATGAAGGACATCAAGCGTACTTGGGCTCAATTCAGGGAGAAGAAACCATTGAAAGAGGTTCAGCAACGTGATTATTTCATCCTTGTATGAGTCAAATGTATACGAACATGAACATACATATCACAGTGACAGGTCGACGAATGCATGAGGTGTTCTGTGCTGACGGTGACAACATGTGCGGGGGGCCATTCGAACACCGACTGTCGGATCGTGAGGTGTTATCTGCTGTCATTAAGCAGGCCACCGGGAAGGAATCGGTGCAGCAAATCGATAATGCAGGTGATGCTGTCGCGAATTCTATGGCCACAGACGACATTTCGCATGACAATCAGGACGATGCTGCAATTTCACAAGAATCATCTGACGTTATACTCATTGATGTTGACGCTGGTGACAAGACTACATCACGCAAAGCACCCCCGAGGTCGAGAGCTGGCAAGTTGAAGCAGGACGGAAATCAGAATAAATCAGCGATCACCCCAGGGAGCAGCAGTAAGAAGACGATAGAAGTCATCAATGTTGATGCTGAGGTTTGATGACAATGCAAAGCGCGACTCAGATATTGATTTCTGACATTAGAGCTCCACTGATGAAATCGCATCGCGCTTTGAAGACAATATAGATTCTAAGAAGAACTCGAAGGAACGACGACAATTGCGGAAACCCAAGGTGACCAAGGCATATGGGAAGAAGAAGGCGACTGCACTGCCTGCGGTGGAATCAGATAATGACGATGCTGGGTCATCCAAGACGCATCGCGTTGTTCCTCTAGAAGTGGAAGTGAGTGATTAACCTGGGTGCACGAGGAAATACTGAGCGAGGAATTTGTCCAGCAGGAAGATATAGAAGATATTCCAACCTTCGGTCAGGACGTGGAGGATTATGATGACGTCCTTCTTCCAAGCGTTCAAGAAGGCTGGGAATCTTGGACAAAGATGGCATTCGAGGATGGAAACTCCCATGTGTTCTTAAAGCTCGCTACCTGGATGCTCATGCGCTTCCGTCAGCTGACAAATACGGACATGGATGCTGAGATCGATGGCTTGATCATTCCTAACAATCCGCGGACCATGGCCGGTATCGATGAAGATCATTTCTTTGAGGCCTTGGGGATGGAGCGAATGTACACTGCAATTGTACACATGGAAACCAGTCCTCGGTACATGTGTCATCTATTCCACGCGCTCGGAAAAGTCATGGCTAGCACCGATATTAGCGCCAGTAACCCACGATTCTTACCTTGTAACTCCCCTCCAGCAGTGGAAGCACAGTAAGCCTCGATATCTGGTATAAATGGAAGCTGATCGTGTGACAGGATGATATCGGATATGGACATTCCCTGGATAGGGTTGAAGAATAACAATGAAACCGACACTCCTCCCTGGTCTGGTTTCACGGACGTTACGGACGATGATGCAGATGGATCATTGGAGGATGAAGACGTTGCAGTCACCTCGGCGTTGGATTCGATGATCATTGATGACAGGCAAACTTCCGTCCGTCCTACACCTAGCGTAGGTGACGCCATATTTCCAAAGCGAAAGAGAACATCATCTCAAGTGTCACCGCCAAAGGTGAGCCATTCTTGCACAATCGTTGGCATTAAATTAATGTATATTAGAAGGATGGCGGCAGAGGTCCTGCTAAGCGTCGCAGGGATGCTGCACACAATGTCGTCCAATCTACGTCTCCGATTCAGTCGTTAACAGATGTTGATGAATCTGGATTCCTCATATCTCCAGTTGTTCCTCAATTGTCATCGATTTCAAATGGAAGTAGTCCACGGGATGACGCATCCGTGCTCTTAGAGCCATGGGACGACGACACAAATGCCCAAGTACAAATGTCGGTCTCCCCAGAGAGACAACACGAGAATGCAAATCCACAGCAGGCTCCTGAGAATGTAATCGACATACCAACATCGCCCGTGACATCCGGCGTTGGTGTACCCCCTTCCAGCCCAGTAGTCCTTGTCCCTGACAGTGAATCATCACAACGTCAGCGATCACGACACACCACTCCCGCACTACCACCAACCACATCTCTGGCTGTGGAAAGGTCGCTTGAGGAAAGTGTGGCACCTGGAACATCTTTGATTGTTGGCCCGATCCCATGCCAGGATGGAGGCGACACAAATTCCAACACGCATAGTACAGCTCAAGATCACTCTGAAGTGAGTGAGTCCACGTGTCTGGTTACACAATTAAATGATTCAGATAGAAATGGTTCCGCATGATGACTCCCGCGTCTCCATGAAGTGATGTATTGCGTTGATTGCTGCATCATTGCGTCCTCTCCACTCTTACGTAGATCATACATCACTCTGCAGTTCAAATGTGCATCAATGGTTTTGTTTTGTGCTTGAACATCACGGAACGTCGCATACATGACACTAGAGTGATTCTGCAGATATGATGGAAGTCGCCTGTAATGTTGCCCGACTCATGTCATTCAAGTCGATGAAACACGTCGGACCAAGAGAGGGTCCTTATGTCCAATTCTCAGTGTCCTTGCTAGTGTGACGAGTGGGATATGGAAATCATTTATTATTGATGCAAATCGTGTGGAGAATGTCAAGGTGACCAAGGCTTTACATACTATGTACCTTCCTGTGCGCGATCGGCACACAATGTCCAATCTGACTAATCATGATGCCGAATGTTTGGCCTTGTTTGTGATTCAATCAGACACTCAGCGCGCCACTCTACTCATCTTCTTTACAATTAACAATGAGGGTTCCACTTGAGATCTTGGTCAAAATATTCACGTTGGCGACTCGGACAAGGGGCGGCGCGGCCTCTTGGATATTGTGTCACTGGAAGACTAAGAATTGGTAAGTATTTTAGGACATACAGTATGAACATGAACAGACTCATCTCACCGATTGTTTTAATCGCACATATCTTATGATTCCAGGTTCGAAAAATTGCTCTACGAGAAAGTAGTCTTGGTTGACGACGAAACCGCGTCCTCCTTCCTGCAATGCCTGCGCCGTAGACACATGCCCGAAAAATTTGCCCAGGCATCAATCAAGGCAATCTCGTTGTCTAATGGAGTCCAGTTCAGAACGGGTATCGAAATCCTATCTCTTTGCACAAGCATCAACACCCTTGCCATAATTCCCGATGACGAATGCTTTCATGACAACGTAGCACATCTCCTCCAGGTGATGGATGCGCTCCCGCTGCAAGTATTATCGCTACAGATCTGCGTCCATCTGACATCCTCGTTGATATCTGGGGTAACATTTTTCGCCAAATTGACGCATCTTGAAGTGGATGCGTGTCGCATGCTTTGTGACGTCGACCTAAAATACCTCCCGCAGTTGACTCACCTTGCGATTTGGAATGAGATGATGGATGACAGAGCAGCGTCGCTGACAAAGCGGCTTCTCAGCCATCCAACGCTTGAGGTCTTGATCTTCCGCGTTGACTATCACCGCGACTTTGTCAGCTTCCTTGATCGCCACATGCTCCATGATCCTCGCATCGTTCTCGTACCATCACGAGTGTACGCATGGGATGATCTTGGGCGTGCCTCCATGTTACTTTGGGAGCTAGCAGATGAAGCGGTCAAGCTACCTGAGCCTAACCATAGTGTGTCAATTTGACAAATTATGACGACGAGGTCATCTGACTCCATTGTACAGACAAACATCGGTGCTTCACTAGGACAATGCAGATCAACCGGATCAAGGATTATATGAACGCTAAGAGGGTTCCAGAACATCACCTGGACTATGAGGTGGTTCCATGTAGGATCATCGGCGGCGGGGATAATACGTCCCGTTGGGGTTATATCGCCAATATGGCGAGTGACGTCACGACATTAGAGGAGGCCGGTGATGCAAAAGTCTACGAAGAGGAAGGTCACCATGACACGGACGAGCAAGGCCCTTAAGATAACTTAGACGATGTGGGAAATCCGCGAATGGAAGTCTATTTGTGAGTCCATTATGTGCAATACAATAGTGATTCCAGGATTTACATGTCCCTACGTCTTAGCTTCAGATGTAAATGGCCACACCTGGCGCCAGTCGTGTCCGAGTCTACAGTATTGTTCACAATTGCTTATTGTTCCATAACACCATAGACGTCCATCTTTGGACATGATTTGCAAAATAAGCGTTAGATATAGCTGCGACGGAGACATAAATCACGTTTCATATACTCATAGCGCATTCTGATATTCAAGAGTGACGTATTGAATCACCTGGAACGTGTATAACGACCTGTGGTGAGAGACTACAGCAGATACCTGCTACCACGCTGCTGCTATTGATGGAATGATATTTGCGCTATACCGTAGCTTCATTTGAGTCTTGCAGCGAATATCGCACAAGAACAACGACCGTCAATAACAGACGCATTGACAACATGTACATGATGCAGGACCTTTCTAACACAATCGTAAATCTTCCGATGAGTCGAGCGAGACTTTCGCTCCACGTGTTCCACTTAGCCTGCCCTAAACAACGGTTCGCAAACCTTGAATTATATTTACAGTGGCGTCATGTTGCAGCGACCTTTCAAAGACCAGAATGCCATTCAACAAGGAGCTCGATCTGACGATTGGTATCACTGGGACCCACGTCCCGCGAGCCAGCGGATCTATCACATGGAAGGATGGACATAAGACCGTCCTACCTGCGATCTTCGATGATGATAACGTGAATCTATGTGCTGAAGTTGATATCCCGTTGATCAAATACATGGCGCAATTCCCGCCATCAAATATTCACTCGAAACGCGTGCAACACCTTGCCAGTGACTCGCTATCATCTCCAGATGTGACGCGCATCATCTCGGAATCTCTGTCAATTCATAAATGCGTGAAGATCACCGGGGTACCATTCACGCCACCACGAGAGCAATTTAACACACATTACCTTGATGTCGAATTTGACATCTCTCCACTTCGGCCGGTGCAGGTCCATGGTATGTACTAGTGTTCATCCAGATGTAAGATTATATTTAAATATAGCATAGACGTAGAGAAGCGATGCCACGACCATGCTAACCCTCAAATATTTGGAAATATCATGTCCTTCTTTGACTCCATGCATGATCCTTCGAAAATACAATGCATTCTGGACGTACCACTGGCTCACATCACGATACCGGATCAATTAAGGCATGTTTAAAATTGTTATGCGACGATGACCTCATTGCTGATTGACAATCAGGAATCTCGATCACGGACTCGTGCACGGTTGGAACCAAACACGCACGTCCGTTCCTATACGTTCAAAGGTTCATCCCGAGAATTTTACTACAAAGGCTTGGGCGCTGTTACATCATGCAGCATTCTTAACGTATCCGCATCACGACGCCGAGGGGACTCTGACGTGGGTTCGAATGGAGGTTGGTGTGAAGCTTTGGGTGATCTTCTGGTTAAAGAGTGGACGAAACGATCGTATCCAACTGCGGAATCTCTCAGTCAAACTTGCAGATTATACCACGAACATCAAATGGATTCAAAAGAACTGCGATGGTGAGGTCATAACGCTCAAGCCAGGGGACATGTTGTAAGCATTGAGGAATCGTCACTGTGTCTCGCTGACATGTCAGTGCAATAGGATACTGCCTCCTGGAGTCGTGCATGCGGTGTATACACCTGTGCCGTCATTTTCCACTGGAGGCCATTTCTATCATTACTCGTGCATGCACCTCACCGAACTTTCACGCTTTATCGATGCTGAATCCGCGTCTACGACCACTAATCAGGACATGGAGCATGCATTGGAGACGTTGCGTCGTATGGTAATTGCCATTCCTTATCTGTCGCCGAGAATAGGTAAGCACATCTGTTCATCTCGTCATCATCGCCATAAACCACACAACAGTCCTGCATAAGAGGCCACTCCTCAGCCTTTGCATGATGGCGACGAAAGGACAACATTATCGTGCGAAGGGGAGTAGTGCCCAGTCTGCAGAGGACACCGAGACTGCCATGCCAACCGGAGACATCGCTGATGTCGTGTATCAGTATTTGGGTGTGTCGAAGCGTCTGCGGGCAGGAGATATCTTATACCCTGGTGATCAGTATGACACGGGTTGTGAGATCGATCGTGTGGCGCTACTCGCATTGTTCAAGGAGACATTGCACCTATAGAGTGAGTATTGCCTGATTCACATTACGATGACATAGGTAGCTCGACCATAGGAGAACGGAGCCCGACTCACAGCGAAGATTACATGTGCCGTACGTCAGACCTCATCGGATCGTATGTACTGCTTGAAACATATATTATATTGCGAATCTGATAGGGTCAACCATGGAATAATACCATGTATGACCGTATGTGCGCACGCCAGTTCTTTTTCGAATGAGCTCAGACAAGAGAACAACTGATATGCATCGCACCGGGCATACATGTGCTAGAAATCAGATGCGAATAGCACTCCGGAATCATCAATGCAATGAAATACGAGATTGTATTTAGGCTCCATACGCGAGTTGTTCAATCGTCATGCCTGCCCGCAAGGCACTAACGGATCGTGGTGGATTCAGCCAGGAAACGAATTCCATAGTGACCCAGGGAGCTTTGAGGACGTCAGAGCACAAGCGGAAGCTTTATGATCGAGCTGGAGATGTATCAGTGGCCTCGAAGCCCAGCAGGAAGACAGCAGTTCAAACACAGACCTTCGGAGGGTTCATTCACCAAAGTCCATTGATACTATGGTGCCTGGGCACCATGGCTATGACGCATGTATGCATCCCGATTCACAACATATACAGGAGTCATCAGACACAAGTCCTTTGTCGCGACAATGTGCCCACATACCAAACGACCCAGCGATTGTAGTACCAGAAGAGTCGTCCCCAGACGGCCGTGACTCAGATGTTGAGAGAACTTGCATGCCACCTCCAGTTGTAGAATTGATGCATCGACGAGCACCAACCAGTGTTGCAGGGGGTAGTACAAACCGATTTGCCTTATAAACCCGTCCCACAACTTGCATTAGACATCCCCTCACCTTAACCAGCCGGGAGGCATCGTGGGGGCATGGATCCAGACACAGAGGAGAACGATGTCCGAAAGAAGCTAGATACGAAGTCTCACTCGGATGGTAAGCGGACGACACTGTCGAACGAATCATGGGTGACACACGCCGAAAAATAACAATCATTGCTAGTGAGTACTCCACACAACGATCTTGACTTCTTGGATATGTCTGACATTCCGTCAGTCCAATGAGGCTGTTGACCACCTGAATGCGGTGAGATTGAAGCTGAAGGAATCTAGCCGTCGTCAAGCTCGAGTTATTGGTGAACCATGGTACAGAGATTTACCTCATGTTAAAACAAGTGAGAAAATTCCCGTTGAGCTGATTGTTTTTGATTGACTCAGCGTGGATGAGATAATGAGAAAAAATGTTTCTTGCACGTGGGACACAGGAACAACTTCCAATTGTGACCTTGAAGGCCTGTCACTTTGTGACTGGATGGGAGGTCGGAGACGTTGCGATATAGATATAATTGTCACTCATTTCGCCAGTAATTATTTTGTGTCAAAGTCTGGTGTATGAGTCTACTGACTACTCGAAACGTTGACCTCCATGGAAATGGTGATTCTCACTGCGTAACTCACAATCATGCCTGGCGTCACGTGACCTATTAGTTTATGCCCAACAAGGAATTAAACTCCGATTGTAATTCCTGGTGATGTGGCGTGAGAGCCTCACGTGATGTGAAGTTGATATATTTGCCCCTTCAGCAAATTTCTTTCTTCCTTTCGTACCATTACCTTCAAGTGGTTTTCTCGCCTCTATGGGCGTTTACTGTCGATGACGGTGACCATTTGTCTTTGTCCTCACTGTCGTCACACTCTCAGCTTCCTATCTTCCTCCTCTTTGGACCTTGTGTGGTGGTTCTCTCGCCTCTATGGGCGTTTACTGTCGATGACGGTGACCATTTGTCTTTGTCCTCACTGTCGTCACACTCTCAGCTTCCTATCTTCCTCCTCTTTGGACCTTGTGTGGTGGTTCTCTCGCCTCTATGGGCGTTTACTGTCGATGACAGTGACCATTTTGCTTTGTCCTCACTGTCGTCACACTCTCAGCTTCCTATCTTCCTCCTCTTTGGACCTTGTGTGGTGGTTCTCTCGCCTCTATGGGCGTTTACTGTCGATGACGGTGACCATTTGTCTTTGTCCTCACTGTCGTCACACTCTCAGCTTCCTATCCCCCTGCTCTTTGGACTTTGTGCGGCGGTTCTCTCGCCTTTATGGGCGTTTACTGTCGATGACGTTGATCATTTTGCTTTGTCCTTTATAACACTCAGTTTCCTTATCTCGCTGCTATTTGGACCACATGCGGTGGTTTTCTCGCCTCTATGGGCGTTTGCTGTGGATGACGGTGGCCATTTTGCTCCGTCCTTTATAATACTCAGCTTCCTGTCCGCTTTGTCGCGCTACCTGCTAAAATTAGTGTGTTGAAAAGTGTATAGTCAATGTGGTTGTCAATCCAATGGCGTTTGCACCCATCCCTTTGTATCTGCTGGCAGTCGTGTGTTTTGTTCAATGAGGACATTTAATTGTGGTATTCAGAATGAACGCTTATGCAGGGATTCTGCGTGTGATAACGAGACGATTCATAATTTGAAAACCACCATTCACTTCGAACATCTCCCAGTGAGAACCGATCCCCGGCGCGATTCTGATTGGATTCGTAATATAGGTATGTATACTAAATCTTGCAGTTCTTAAGGTGAGTTGTACATATGCTGTATCTGCTTTCATGAGGCTTACGACAAAATTAGGCTCCATGGCTGTCTTGCACAGGCATCAGGCGTATCGCAGTCTCATCTAAGCTTTGCACCGATCCCTTTCACAGATATGCACCAAACTAGCATTATATCTCGAACAAGGCAAATGCCTCGAGACTTCTTTGGCGTGGCTTTGTCACTTGCAGAACCTAATGGTAGACACTGCAATGCCAGTCTACACTCGACTGTTGTTGTTTCATTCTAACGGGCTCGAAATCACAATCGCTCCCGTGTGGCAGAGCGATATAAAAGCGCTGAGCTCTCAAAATAAGAGGGTGCAGGCACGGAGCACTGTCAGTTGCTTCTACTATTTCAATTGTTGTAGCTCAAGCCAGCAAGGCGAGTGCTTAGTTAATTGTTGATATTGAGATGAAGCCGGAGTGAGAACCAGCTGTAGAAGTCCTGGTGAGTCCTTATTAGCTGTCGTCATTCAGATTTCTGAATAGGATGTATCATACCTCAAGATATTTCTGCTCTAGCGCTGGTCAAGACTGGGCGCTTCGAAGTGCTCTATAGGCGTTTTATCATAGCGGGTCCAAGGTAAAATCTGATACATTGAAATTTGCTAAGTAACAAACGCCAGCAAGACCTGTAGACTTTACTTGCCGGTGCAAAGTATTCGATATCAATTATTCTATGTCCTCCACACGATCCGCTGACATTTGCCTCGGGACCGACGTCAATTTCAGTATTTATTAATGGAAAACGGCGGATCACTTCGATCCTTTGTGAAGACACTTTTCTTCGACATGTAGTGTCTGTGAAGCCTCCAGAGATGTATTGATCGCCATGAATACTTATGAAATGTAAGACGTCGTGAGGGGTGCATTGCTACATCGAACGCACGCGTGCACGAGCGTTGACCGCGATATTATGTTGCCTGCGGGCCTCAAAACATAGCACCAAGAGCGTTGTCTACAATACATAATCACAACGTGTAGATGGCTTGATTAAACAGATATTCATGTTGCCCATCAGGAAGAGCATGAAATGTGGAATGTGATGTATTTGTAACGCTGTCTGTAATGAAAGGGTATAGTGAACTACCATCGTCTATCAGTGAGCCGTTCATGATGTACACTATAACAAACTACTTAGATCACCAGTGCAATGAATCGATCAACACTTCCTCTACATCCTGAAGTGTCTTGTGACACAAATCGATAACTGAGAAGAGACATGACTCTCTCTGTTGGACTCTATTTTCCGCACATTGATCCTCCTCCTTCGGTTGTAGCGCGGGACGACTCTTCTTCGGAACGGCTGCGATTTTGACCATGATCTTATTCGCCTTATCTGTGATGGCCTTCATCTGTTGGCGGACGTACGTCTTCCTCTCTCTGTGCGACTCATCGTCACCCAATGCTCCGCACTCCATAGTCACTGTCTGAGCTTCAATCCTGAGTGCACGAGCTAGACCTATGATCCGCCAGACTGTCCTTGAGGTCCACCGTGCTTCATCGAGAGCTTGATTCAACAAGGCTCGTCTTTTCTGCCGTTGGCTCTGTATGGAATCGTGGTGTGATTCACCAATGTCTTCGTTACTGGTGAGGTTCCCATCGCTAGCGTAATCGGGGTTGGCAATCATGTCGAACGCCTCCGCAAGTATTTGATGAAGACCGTTTGTTAGGATTTGCATGCGCCGTCTAGTACGTATGTTGACTACCCGCATGATAGGGTCGCATTCATCGTCGATGTCCAGCACATCCGTGGACGGCTCATACTCCGCAATGATCATGTCCTCAAGGATAGACGAAAAGGCAGGTTCAGGATCACCTGCATCAGGTAGCAGATGTCAGGTGCGGGAGCGTGACAATACAAAGAGAATATGATGCAAATCTTACATTGAATACACGTTGGTCTTATTGGCACGTTCATCCCGCTACCTGTGCTTGGAATTCTGACTATGTCAGATCGAGTGACGACTAATGGGACTTGATTGTGGATTGCAAGGATGGTGTCAGTGCCTATTGTTGGCAGCGGAGTTATAAGTACTGATTCTATATCGCTGAGTACAAGTAAGATGTCAATAGGGAACGGTTCCAGTGATACAACTGACTTCGTTGTGCACAGTTTGGCACCGCGCCAAATAGTCAATTGATGTACTGGGAAGTTGATCTTGTATAGCAGCGGTTCTAAAAACGATTTTCAGTGAATGATAAGCACCAGTGGGCCTTCAATCACGAACGCCTACAATGATCGCACGTACCGCAGTTGTCTACAAAGATGCAATGCGTAATATGTTCAATGGATGGATGTTGTACTGTAATCAAAGTTGACACGGACTTTGAGATAATTGTGAGACAGTGTCACGTGACAGTTTCATTGATCTGCTGAACCCACGCGTCCACAAGAATCGACCCTACCATTGTCTTGCCCGCAGCTTACGATAGTGCATTATAGCATATGTCCATGCTGACAGCACAACAAGAGCGAAACATGTATTCAATAGTACGCTCACGGACGCATCAAACTGTGCTCACAGACCAACCATTATAGTCTTTATGGACTTCCTTCACATGGTATGACTGAGCACGTGGGCGAAAATATGAGTACAGGATACATGTTATGCATCCTCTCAGTAAACTAAAATTATGTCGTTGATGTAGGCAGGAGCGTGGTGTGTCCCAACTGTTCTAGGAGAATACTACTCTTCTATCCCTCCACTGGCCCGAGCGTCGCTGTCACTGTCTAAGTGTTGCAGTTGCTGGGATCATCAACCCTGCGTGCTTGAACCGGCGTCGAAGTTACTTGGACTGGTGCTTCTAAAAAGCCCTGCGGTTGGACCGGTGCGCCTTGACGTTGGCTTTGACCATGTCAGACTGTTGAAGTAGACACCTCGCGTTTTTAATGCCTTGGGAGGCCTGCAGTTGGACCGAAACGTTGGATACATACAATGCGAATATCACCGCCATACGGGTGCCTAACGTAGTGGAGAGGGAGTGCGTCTTAAGTCATATAAAGACCTTACATTTGCTCTTTCGCGATGCCTTGCGGTCCATGAGGAACGTCGGACCACAGGAGAAGGTCAGTAGCATGCTACATTACAATCCAAATGTGTTGAATGATATCGTCGCAAAGGTGGTCCAGCGAACCACGAACACGTGCAGTGCGTGAGATCCATAGGATGCCTTCAACCTCCAGCATAAGCATAAAGGAGGAGCGCTCAGCGGCATGATCCATGCCACACCCATTAGCTAGGCAAGTCGATTTAGGATGGAATTACAGGGTAACACATTTCTAATCCTTCACCAACCTCCAGATCCTCGAATCTGTGCATCAAGACAGATCCGCAAGTGCCTTGGTACCACAGGCACTTCCATGCTTGGGACGCATCCAACTTCCTGTCTAAAGAGTACTGCAATCTGCTCGATCGCAACAAACAGGTCTTCGAGAATTCTATGTAGCCTTCGAGCCGTTAATTGGATAGGGGGATCTGAATTGATTTCCAGAAGTTTAACTTGAATGATTCGCAAGTTGCCTGATTGATCGAGTCCAGCTGAGTCATGAGACACCGGGAAGTCGACTCCGTACAATTCAAATGCATTTGGAAGCGGCTGACATCGAGACCTAACACGAAGGCACAGGATCAGCAGCAACCGATGTTACCTGGAAATGGATATGCGTTTATAACATGGCCCTGAACGGTTCAGCGAGCACGGAGCCCATTTGAACTGGTATGATCTCGATACCTTCGGTGGTAAATAACGGTCGAACAGTATTCAGCACTTGATATCAAAAACAAATAGTCCTTTTTACCTGAATGACAAATCGACGAAGTTGTGACATTATTATATGGTCATTTCAGAAATAGATTTCAAACTTGTGAAAATAATTCTTTTTGTGGGCTGGTACATATCTTAGAGGGTACTTCCAGGAATGATATGAGCCAAGAATTACAGAAAACGGCGGTTGGGATGTGGAGATATGGTCAAAATACTGACTTTTTGGCCCTACCACCATATGTCACCAGTAATGATCTCCAGATACTCTGGGACCATCACCAATCGATTTCCAAGCTTGAAAAACCCCAGGACAGCCCTTTACGGTATCGGGTTTAAGTTAAAATCAAGTACAGCAAAATATAGGAGGTAGGAGGGAGGAGGAGGACCTTGTATATCTCAAGAATGCGATTTTTTCTGGGAATTCTGGCTCGACCATCGTGTTCAGAGGGATCAAGAGCCCCCAGGAAAAATGCTTTTGGAGCACTGGCAAGTCATGTGAAGTCTGTAAAAATCGATCTTTGTGGGGGGTATGAGGCAAACTGACCTATTTTATTTCAACAGGCTAGAAATACTCTGGGATCATCTCCAATCGATTTCTGTGATCATAAAACACTAGGAACATCCTTTGATATATCGGTATTTACATAATATCAAGATATATGAGATAGGAGGGGGGAGGGGGACCTAGCATATCTCAAGAACCTGATTTTTTCTGGCAAATCTGGCTTGACCATCGTGTTCAGGGGGATCAAGAACCCCCAGGAAAAATGCTTTTGGAGCACCAGCAAGTCATGGGAAGTCTGTAAAAATCGATCTTTGTAGGGGGGTATGAGGCAAATTGACATATTTCAATTCAGATAGGGGGAATACTCCAGGATCATTTCCAATCACTTTCTGTGATCATAAAACACTAGGAACATCCTTTTGCATCTCAGTCTTCACACAATATCAAGATATATGAGATAGGAGGGGGAGGGAGACCTTGCATATCTCAAGAACATGATTTTTGCTGGCAAATCTGGCTTGACCATCGTGTTCAGATGGATCAAAAACCACCAGGAAGAATACTATTTAAGGACTGACAAGTCATGGGAAGCCTAGAAAAATCGATCTTTGTGGGGGGTATCAGGCCAACTGACACATCACAATTCACATGGGCCCAGATGACTCCGATACCATCTCCAATCAATTAACATGGTCCAAAAACACTAGGAGCATTCTTTTATACATCAGTATTGACATGGAATCATGCCTCTGGGCACAGTAGCTAGGGGGAGGGGGTAGCATCACTATGGAATATGATTTTTTCGGACCAAACCAGTGTTGCCATCTGATTCAGATGGCTCAATAACCCCAGAAACAAGTTCTATTTGAAGCCAAGCAAGTCATATGAAAGCTCAAAAAATCAATCATTGGGTGAGGCAGCATCACACTGCTTACATAAGCAAAAGCGGTCAACTTGACCATAGGTGAGCAACTTTACAACAACATGACTTTGACATATCAAATTGTTGTTCCTACTGGTCTGTGTCTTCAGAAATAAGCCTGAGATCCAGCCATGCAAGTCATACAAAGGCTGAAAAAATCGACTTTGGGTGAAGGCCTCAGCACAAGAGTACTTGATAGCTCATCACTTTGGAACATGATTTTTGCGCACCAAACAAATCCTGCTGTCAGATTCAGGAGGCTTTATAACTTCTAGAACAAGTCCTATCTTGAGTCAGGCAGGTCATGTGAAGGCTGAAAAAAAATCGATCTTAGAGGGTGAGGCAGCATGACAGGGGTGTTCAACTTTTGAACATGATTTTTACACAAGAAATG